GGGCCGCCCTTGGCCGAGGGAGGGTCATGGCGCCACGAACTTGAGGGGACCCGATCACCCCCTTAGCGACCCTCCCACTCTCCCTCCCGCCGAACGAAAGACCACTCCGAAACAAGACGTTTGGTTACAAAACGTGTACCAAAACAGTTTTTATTTCACAGCATCTTAATTTCACAAGTCGATGGGGGGGGAGGAATCGAACAGGCTACAACTCAGACTTAAATAATAGAGTAAGACGGCATTGTTTACATAAAAATGTACAGCCTCTTATGAAAAGAGTTCTCCGTGCTGAGTCAACCCAGCAGCATCTTCACACGGCACACAGCGCTGGACCACCCCTCGGTGTAAACCTCGTCAAAGCAAGAGGAGTTGGGCTGTGAAAAATGTAAAGCCGGCATTTATTTTCTCGGGTCCCGCTTTCAGTTTTATTAATGGATAACGTAGTAATAGTCCTTTGCCACATGGTGGCAGCTTTTAGGTGAAAAGATAAATATTCCCACACAGGACTGCAAGCCACACTAGAAACTGAAAAAAATCAACATGTCTACACACACACACACACACACACACAAGTTACTGTATCTCTGCAGAAGGACTGTTTCTGCACAGATACCACAACTAAATTATCCGACAGCATCAGCCCCAAACCCACACTCCACAAGACACTGGCACAGCGTTTGCTCCAACTGCAGAGTCTTTGGCCTGTGCTCCAGAACAGCTTTTGAGCTCAACAACACTGCGTGTGCCCATGTCAACGTTTAGAGTAACTTTCAGACAACATTCAGCATTCTCTAATTTAATGCTCCTTAATTTGTTCTTCTGAAAGAGAAAACAAAAGCTTGCCCATTTATGACATGAAACCATAGATTCTGGAAGTGTAACTACAGCCCCAAACGCCCACTGCAACTAGACAAACCTCCACTGAATAGAAACTGCAAAGTGTTGCAAACCAAAGTGCATTTTTTTTTTTTCCTTTGATGGTGAGAAAGTTAATTTTGTTACAGAAAACTCTTTATACACTAAACAAAGCAGTTCCCAGAGAAAGCCACTTTCTGATTTCACTCACACTAGCCAAAGTGTTTTACCGGTTGGAGATAGCGTGCAAGAAATTTCTTTGCTCAGTTCTAACTTCTGTCCCCTCCCCTAATGACTTCAGGAATTGGTGGACCACTTCAGCCGCCTTCACCACTGTTTGCTAAGTTGAAGGCTCATTATATGCTAGGTGTTTAGTACACCACTATTTCCTGCATGCAAGCACAGTTATATTCAGTAGAAAGTTTAACTAGTAGGCAATTTTGTAAACCTCTTGAAAGATAACTGGCAAGCTTACTGTCTAACTTAGTAGCTACTGTCTCACTTAGAGACTGTAAAGTCCTTCTGTGTTAGAGAGAAATCACAAGCATATTAAATTTTACACAAATAACTTGAAGCTACATACAGCTGAACACAGTTAGAAAAGATTTGATAGTCACTGTAATTATTACATATGAAAAATACATTTTCAGCCCTACTTAAAGAGGAAGGGGCTCCAGTAAAGTCTGCTGCAATTCTAATGAAGCCAAATTAGCTTCAGACAAGACACAGCTGAAGAGCAAAGATTCAGCTTTGTTTTTGGCTACAACCAACATTGAATACAAGGAACAGGAATTTACATTACTTTACATATTAGGTAGCAGGTCCCTCACCTCAGTACAAGGTCTAGTATTTCATTTAGGAGTCAAAATTAGAAATTTCTCAGTTGTAATAGCCAAGCATCAGTTTTGTTCCTTGCAAATGGACACAGTTACTTGTATCATAATATTGCTTCAGAAAATAAACCCAAGAGCCAATATCACAGAAGGTTCCACATATAATCAAGAGTTCATTGCCAACCCAGATATTAAAAAAAAAAATAAAAAAGAAAGAATAGCCAACGGTAAGAAGTTCTTTAACCTCTGCATAAGCATTAAGAGCGCTGCCGGGCACCAGCCATTAAGTGGCTGTTCAGATGTGCAACAAATGCCAGTTTTATGAGGACCGTCACAGTGATACAATGCTTGGAAGAACAGAGTAAAAAAGTAGCATTTGAAATACTGAGCATGCTTTGTTTCATTGGCTTAGTTTGGCAGCAGTAGCTCTACCGACTTAAGTATTTGCTCAGAGCACATAAGACCATATATAATACAGTCGTACTAAAAAGGTGCTTATTTCAGACTATGGAACACTGAAACTTTATCCAAAAAAAAAAATCATAATGACACATTTGGCAGCAAATTGCTCCTAGTCAAGCGCTCATCTTCCACTGAACAGTGAATTAAGATGGCAATCGCTTTGCTGCAGCTACCTTGTTCAACATGTGATACTTCATAACAGATCTTCAAACAATCCTTTTTAAATAAAATGTATATTCTGAAGGTATTAATAGTTAACTAAATTGGAACGGAGTAATTTCAATCTTGCTACTTATAGATCTATAGTATAGTAGAGAATAGATGCCCTGTGTATTGTTAGTGCAGATATACTGGAATTGTTTCTCCTTATATGCAAGGCCAATGCAGGTAAAGAATAAATGGCTATACAAATTCAGGGTTTCCCACTAAATAACATAACTAACTTAAAAAGCACTGGTACCAGACCAGTTTTAGGCACATCTTTAAAAAAATAAAGTATGCATTTCATTAATGTAAAAATGCCAGAAGATTCTTAGAAACATCTGAACTTTATGGTGCACTGGAATGGAAGTGATGCTTCCTTTAGTCTCAAGGAATACAATAAAGGCTTAAAATAAAAAAGAAACAATACCATAGTATTCTTCATAAGGAAGAACAGTTTTAGTAAAACCAAAAAGATAAATAAGGAATAATAAAAGCAGCCATGACAGCTGACTGGTGAATATTTGTGCTTTAAATGTCCAAAAGAAAATAAAGTTCAATAACTCTTCTCGTACCATTCCCCAGACTTGGCATACGTGTCCACAATGCACACCTTGACAGTTTAATAACACGCTGCAGACTTCACAACTAGCTGTAGCCAGGGCAGGATGCACACAGCGGCACAGAAAAGGCCAGTGGCAACGTCACCAGCAGCAGTCAGTGATGCGATCCCCAGCGCCACTGGCTGTCAGCTGGAGCGCAGCTTTGGTTAAGACTGTTGCGTGAGCCGTCTGTAATGAGGTAAAACTTGGTTTTCAGGAAGATAGAGAGCCAGTTCCAAAGCTACAAGGACGGTGAACTCAAAACCGATGAGATCTCTTCTGTTGAATCTGAATCTCTCTTCTAGTTTCTATGATAGTAATAAAAAAAAAAGGGGGAAGAAAGAATCAGTTAATCTACAGAATACCAATGCACTGTTAGATTTAAGTCAACATAAAACAGGAGTCACTGATGCACAGCTAGGGCTGTACCTACAGAATTGAAAGTGTTGCCATGGATCAGACAAGTAAACCACCTTATCAGCTCAGCCGTGACACCCACACAACAGTTACGTGTGTTTGCCTGAGAAACAGTAGGTGCAATAGTAACCTCACGGTAGGATCAGTAGGGCATTAGACTGCACTAATCAGATAGTTTGAGGGAATTAAGAAAAAAAAAAATCAAGGAAGAGCCCTAATGGGACATAAAACTGTCTGAAAGAGCTGGTCTTAAATGCAAGCATGCACCGCTGAAAGTCTTGGCTTTAATCGTTGTCTTATTCAATGAGCTAGAGAGAAGGCTTCGACAACACCTGAAACAAGTCTCAGGACTTACGTCTATAAGGTGTTTCACTTCATGTTTCCTGAGATCACTGCTGATCTTGGCTGCAAGCAGAACGCAAGCACCAGCACACAGTTTGCGGTTCTGTTTGTTGAGTTTGCCTTGGAGGACGAGCTTCTCAAAGTAAACATACGCCATGGAGACAGTAACCGGCTCCAGATTGCACTCTTCACTCAGGTTCCGCATCTCTCTCTTTAAACTGGGAACAGGGAAAAAAAAAATGTCACCCTCTCAAACACGACAGCTTTTATGAAATGGTCTACAAACACTGCAGCACGAGCTCAGAAGACATATGGGCAAGACTCATATTTGGAAAACCATGACAAGTATTATCCTAGACTGGAGAAGTCCAGCTGGCAGCAAGTTGGAGCTGATGCACAAGCTGATTTAACCTGGCTGACAGCTGTGGAAGAGCAGTTCCTCATCTGCCCATAAACATCTTAGCTGCCTCACTGTCATACAGGATATTGCTGTATGATTCCCTTTGGGCTCCCAAACTGGTTCATGATTCATATTATAAGACTGAACCACCCTGACCTACAGAACACCACATCAAAGCCCTGCAGATCGCAGCAGCTGCTGCTTACAGCCCTGTCGACTACACACCTGCAGAAAGAATCAGGTCTGAGGGGGAAGGCAGGCTGGTTTACACATTTCCCACAACAGCTAGCCCTTCACTTCAGCATTAAGGCAGACTTTATGGTGGATGCTACCTCTCACAGCTGCCATCCATGCTACACCTGCAAGATCTCTGCTCAAACACCCTACTGAAAACAGCTACAGAGGAGCCTGCAGGACACTGAACACAGGCTCTGCCTGACAAGCCTTCCACTTGGAGCCGAGTTACACATAGCCCTGGTGATTCAGCAGAATCATGTATAAGCTGGCTATTTCAAAATGCCCTGATTGCATTAACTGCCGTGTAATACCAGCAAGATTACAGCTCTCTGAGGGCGCAACAGTGCATCTCGCTGACAAGCGGCCAGATGCGTTTTCTGGAAGATGAGCAATTCTGTGTGGTTTAGTCCTGCCTTCACAAAACACTTTTCTTTACCAAGACTCCCCAGACCTAATGCTCTTCTTTATCCTGGAATCTTTAGTTAGAGTCTGGTAATTAAGGGGTAAAAATAGCCAGAGGGTCCAGAAAGACAATCCAGGTAGAGTGGGACTGCACTACAGCCAAACAATCAGTTTACACGGATTTGTTTCAAGGCTAATGCTGCTTCGCCGTTAATTGGCTGTTAGTGTTAGTACACCACAGATGGTGAAACAAAACCCTTTCAGGTGGAACTGTGAAAACCAACTGTTACCCTTTCTCAGCACCCTAAACGTTCTTGTACAGGGCTGTCATCCTTCAGTCAGCTCAACTGGCAACAAGAGATTAGTGTTTAATCATATATACTATTAATAGATCTACCATTATCTCCATACAAGTGGAAGATAAAAGCAGCCTTGTACAGCGTAGACGACGTTCTCACTAGTCAATGCTTGTTTCTTACCTCCTAATTTTGCTCAGTGTCAACTTGATATGAGGAAACTTCTCTCTAAAGGTTTCGTTCATATCCTTCTTAAGGTCCGAGGGTTTCACATATTCTATGACTGTAGTCTGAAACACAAGAGGCAAAACTTGTAATTTCTCTTGTGAGCAGTACTGACAGCCAGACAAGTTTTCCAGAGACACTAATTCAAAGGCAAACCTGAGTTTTATTATTCACAATTTAACATTTCTGTAATGTCCTCAGTAATAGACCGAGTTGAACCTCAGCTAGAGACAAAGTTTTAAAAAACTAGTAAGCAAATGGTTACAAGAATAACTACATGAGGTTCATCCTCAGCAAGCTGAGTGTACAAACCCAGCTATTTGTATTTTTCCTAATAATTTCAAAAAGTCACAACTTCTTCCTAGAGGAAGCTTTCCTCCTTGAGGAAGTTCTCTATAGGAGGATCTTCCAGGCACTCACTCACTCCTCTGGTCAGGTATGCCAGTCACTCACCATGTAAGAGGCAAAGATGAGAACACGTTTATGTTTCCCACAGGGCCACTGAGGATCATCCAGAAGATTTGGATCATACTCTGCGGCTTCCCCAGCTTCACTTCCTGAGGGAACAAGGAAAGCACATTGGGTCACAGGATACGGAGCTCTAAACTCCCTGTTTCCTCTTTAAAAAAAGTCTTCAAACAGCAAACATTAAGAGTGTCTGCAGATCCCATAGTACAGGCAAACTGCAGCTACATTCATATGTTTGCATGTCAGAAATGCATCAGTCAGGTATTAGAATTATTAAAAAAATGCACAAGCTCTTTCTCCAGCATGTGCCTGATGCACCATTTTAGACTCAGCACAAACTAGGTGCTCTGTCTCCTACAAATATGCACAGAATACCACTGCACAAGGCTGAACTCTCGCCTATAACAGACAGCAGAGTTGTCAGGTTTTCCCTTTTACACAAGAGAAGGAATTCTTATCACAAATTCTGGCTTCTGCCTTGTTACTGGGCTAGACTGCAAGGAAGACTGACCACCTGTCTCCATGTACACCAGCTGTTTCTTATGAGTAATATAAAACTTCACCTTTCCAAGGAAAAGCTTCAATTGCATAAACAGAACTAGGCTGGGTATATGAAGGATCTAAGGAACGTGTGCAAGTCTCAGTCCTAAGGCTTATCATTTATACTTCATGAACAAGCCTTCTTTTTACTAGGCTGTGATAAAAATAGTTTCCTTCCAGCTGCAGCACACCCTTCCCAATAATGCACTTTACCACTTGCAATCGTTTCAGGTCAGTATATTCCTTTTATGCTTTGCTGCTGTGCGGACAAGTGATGACAGAACTGGCGGCTGTCCTTACCAATGTCTGTTGTTGCTGGTATCGTTTTTGCTGTCACAGGTTTATATCTTGATGCAGGAAGACTCCGTGAAGCACTAGCTCGACATGAGGGAACAGCACCATGGCTGTCAGCTTTGCGAACAACTAGGGCATTGGTCGGGTACAAGAATTTTGCATAGGACACAACCTTAAAAAAAAAAAAAGGGAGAGTTGTAGTTTTTATAGGGGAAAATTTACTGAAAAGCCTGTTTGCAGGATTTTCCAGCTCTGAGTCCCCTGGAGTTTGTGTTTGGGAGTGGGGACCTTGAAACTGTGGGACAGGAGGAAAGGGAAAAGTTGGATGAGGAATGCCTTCCTTCCACAACTTCAGTATGGAAGTGTTGTGGAAGATTTAGTGAGATGGCAAAGGGGAGAATCACATCAGTAAAATTCTGGCAGTATATAAATTTAACTAAAGAGGTATAAATTCTGCCTATATTTCAATCAAAACATCACTCACATGTTGCCTGAAGTACCAAAATCAAATCAGTTCTCCAGAAAGAGGCAGAAGTGATCACAGCCTTCAACAGCCTCCTCCTCAGAAGCTTTACCACAAACCCAACGTTGCAAACTTTTAGGATCAAACCCAAACTTCCACTACTCTGAAAAGTTACATCTTTCACTTTATGGATGGCAAAGCACTGCATAAATTAAATGATCTGCCCCAGCATGAAATGCTCCTGGGGTGAAAGCAGCCATCTTACCCACCTGCTGTCCCCTGCTTCTGTTAAAAAAAAAAGAAAGAAAATCCTTACCTTGCCATCAGCACCCAGCTCTACTCCTTCCAGTCCAAGCACCATCTCAGTAGAGACTGAAACTCCCCCAGAAGGATGTCGTTGCTTCTGTCCTTCCATTTTTAGATCACTAAATGCAGATAAGAAAACGCACTATTAGAAAAATGCAGCATAAGCCCAGCTCCCTCTATGCTAAACACCAGGTCCATCCACTAGCTGCAGCCAACACCACCAGGCCAGAGTTCTATGTGAGAACAGTGCAGTCCCTCAATCCCATCTCCAAGAAAGCATTAATTTTTAAGTACTCTTTTCAAAACACAGATGCTCATTAACTGAAGAATCCGATTTCAAATAATTTTAACTCAAACCTATAATAATATACTTGGCAAATGTCAACTTTTTTAACATGGTCCTTCTGCATAAGACCACACCATTTGTAAACACATGAGTGCTCAAACACTTAACAGCAAACATGATATATAACACTGGTTTTCCAGGGTTAGAAACTTGCCTTTCAAGTGCAATTTTCCAACCACTGTGCACACAAACTCAGATTAAGAATTAAGGCTGCTGGCAGAACTCTGCTTCAGCGATGGCAGCATGCAGCTTTGTCACCTATATTCCAATGTGAAAAAGCAGCTTTCAGTTGAAGAACTGCCTTGCCAGCATACAAGCAGAACGACACAGTGCTCAGAACTGCTCTAAAATAGCTCCAGTGACCTTGCTGCTTTTCTATTAAGCAAGAGAATATTTTCCCATCAACTATTTTTATGGCAAGTGCATTTGCATACAATACAATTCCCACCACTAAACATCCGTTTCCTTCGTCCATAAATTATCTACAGGACAGAAATGACAACACAATTGTTTTGCCAAAAGTGGATTAGAATAAAATTAGTGTTTTCTATGGTATCCTTGTAGATCACAGACCTCCACAGAATCAGCTGAGACTTCACAAGAGACTAAGCAAAGCTGCAGGGAAATCCAGTTAGCAGGTTTTGTTTCTCATAAGTGATCATATTGATAGTTATATGCATAGATGTAGTACAAACACTAAAAACAGTTTTAATCAGTCCAAACTGCTTTTGTTTTGCTTAGATTGCAAATAGTAACATTCATGGCTTAAAGCTGAAAAACAGAAGAGCATCTTAAACTTATTTAGATGTAACTTCACTATAAAACCTTGAAGGTTTCCAGTACAGGCAGCAGCATCCTTCCCTAACGTTCTGTATGCTTTTTCGCTGGCACTGTTTTTTTGTTGCACTACAGACAGTTGGTTTCTGACCACTTTAAGAACACAGGAAATCCTACATAGCAACAAATATAATCTGTTCAAAGTCAGCTTCAGGGATTTCACAGGACTGGAGGGCTTTAAAATGTGAATAGATACCTAAAGAAAAGTCTACTTTTCCCAGTATTTTTCTCTTGGAGCGTGAACACTTTGACACTGTGGCAATGTCTGATTTTACTGCTCTGACAGCAAGGTCTCGTCCTTACATGTAAAGTAAAAAGTTAAATAAGTTCACCTGCTGCAAAACACGACACCTACACCAAGCACACTCACTTAAAAAGATCTTTTGCAAACAATACACCAGACATTGCACAAAGCAGTTAGATGACTCACCTGATCCGTAAACTCTCCCCGTAAGGTAGGATAGAAAAAGCCACACACAGTGTTCGTTTAGCACAGATTAACACTATCCTGTAAGCAGATGGGAAAAGATCAGGGTATGAATTAAGATTCAGAAGTTACAAAGCAGCTTTTTATGGAACATGAACACAAGACTCTTCTTATATTGCTCTGCAAGGCACACATACCGAGATGGGTTTTATATTTTCAGAAAGAAGCGCAAAAGCCGAGGTTTCACTCTGACCCTGCAGATCCTTAGAGTCAAGCTCTGTAACAAAGCCCAGCATTCAGTAACTGCCATCACCTTGGGAGGTCCTCAGAGGAGATCCTACTCTTTAAATATGTATCTCTATCCATGTAATTTTTACATAAACCTTGTAAAACATTATCTAAATCTTTTCACATTTAGATGACGTCTCACGCCTCTATTAATAATAAATATGAATGCAGCCTCCCCCTTCTCTTCTGGCCAGCAACTACGAGCCAAAAATTTGGCTAAATCAAGCTGTTGTTCTTAAATCCCCCTCAGCTCTGACCTCTCTGTGCACTAGAGTTGAGGACGGTGTTAGAAGAGAATGATTTAATCTCCTCAAAGCAGGATGGCAGAACCACCAGAAAATTGCTGCAGACACAGCAGATATGATCACTTACTGTCTTTAATAGAAGTACGTATAAAACTTAACAAGACCCCAAGGACATCCCCTTATTCCCACTGATATGAAATGCCTAGCTGCACTGAACTAGAGTCTCCTGAGCACATCCTACTTCACCCGAGTATAGGAGGCACCTCGCTCTCCAAGAAGTTACCTGCTGTTCTTGGTGTCATACTGCCTCATGTTCTTGATGAAGTGCATCTTCTTCAAACTTTTGTGTCTCGGAGACCCAGATATATGCTTGGTTCTGCAATGATGAAAAAAACAACACCTGTTAAGTGCTCCGAAAAAAAAAAATCATGCCAGTTGTATGATCAGATGGCAGCACTAGCATGCAGGACCTCAGATATTGGCGTGGAAGAGGGTAGAGGGAGGAGAGGACTGCATGCAACGAGTTGAGATTAATGCTGCTTTTGAAAAAAGTACCTTCGTACACTGGCATATTCCACTATGTCTTCTAAAAAGTCTAGAGAGCAGCGCTGGGAGATAAAACGCCTTCTGTAAAATGTACAACACCACGAAGAGTGAACAATATTAGTTCATGGCCTCCGAGTTGATGAACTGCAACAGATCTACGAGCTCTTAGGACAAATGGCAGGATTTGGGGAAATTTTGTTTTGTTGGAAGAGTGCTTAACTAAGAGTTTCAAATTCCTAAAAAGGCCAAGAACTTGTCTCCCCCGCCAGGACCCCTGAAGTACACATTTACACCAACTTCATTAACAAAAGCATTCACTATCTTCAACACATAAGAACACCTATCTGTAAGTTAAACACCTTAAAAAGCTTCCAAATACTAATTTAAAATCTTACAAGAAATATCACAAATCCCTCCCCCCATCAAAGCAAGAGAATAAGTCAGTTTATATCAACCTATGGACAGATATATCTGTATGACGACCAAACATCTGTGTCTGTTCTTGATTCAGAAGACAGTTGTCTCCAGCTGCAGGAGTCGGCAGACTGAGACTATGATGGTAGCTCAATAAAATTGACAGATCTCTCCAGAAAACAATAGAGAGGGTTATTAGAAGCAGCGAAGAGTATTCAGTACCCATCTGAAATCCCAGAATGGAAGATGTAAGAAGAATAATAGTAGGAATCATGTGAGTTAGTGTAACAGTAATAGGATATTACATTTAAGAAAAAAAAAATAGACTTTGGCGATGAAAGATACATTACTATTGTCAAAGTCAAGTCATTCTTTGTTGGTAGAGAATTACAAATGAATTGTGAAACTACAACTGCAATTTCCATAAGAACAATGCACTCAGATTCAACTGCCACCAGCAAAATGCTGACACTACAGCTACCAGATTCCTTATTTTCTGCTTTTGTTTAAACATACATTGTGCTGCATTTTTAGCGCAAGCCACATGCATTCAAGTCCAAGGTTTTCTTCCAAAGTGACGTAGTAACTCAACTAATGGACAATACTGCCATGGAGTTAATGTAGAAGCAGCATATGAGACAGAAGTTGCAGGTCTCTGGTTTGACAAGATCTACTTTTGGGAAAAAAATTCAAACTTTAAGCTGCATCAGAGTTCTGGCATCCATGAACGGCCAAACCACTCAGACCTAGGCCAGGCTCTCATGCCTGGAAGTTAACATCCAACACCAAGGCAAAAGCATGGCACCTTGGGTGGGTGCAAGGGGATGGGGGTGTGTGAGGGGGGAGAGGTCAAGAAAAATGGGATTTATTGTTAATGGCTATGGAAGTTTTTATACTGCAAAGCCATTTTGAGCAGTTGATTCAAGTTAAAGATCAAAAAGAGCTACTTAGGATTAAGTCTGGTCTTGAAGTCCAGCTCTTCAAGATTTTGAAACATCTGGACAATCTGCTAATCCTAGTGACTTTGCCTTTCCTCCTCTCCAGCCTGAGCTGGGTAAGAAACCAAACTACACTATTTTGTTGCTACAGAAGAGATACACCAGAATTCAGGACGTGAACAAAATCTGTCTGCTTTTTCTAAGCATGGTATCTAGAAAACCGCAAATTGCCCGAGTGAAAAAACAGGTGCTTTCACCCCTTTTTTTCCCCCCCTTCTTGCAAGTTATTTCTTCTCTTCTGAGCTACTTGGAGCTATTGCCAGAGCTGTCTGCCAAAACCTGTGCCAGCAAGACGTGGCCATTTCCCTCCCCATGGCACATTGCCGTTACAGGCGACATCGCTGATGCACAGGATTCGCTGTAACATTACAGATTTCCACAACAAGCAGATTACCAGCAACAGGAGCACTTGCCCCTCTTGCTTCAAACTACACCAGGAACACAAAAGCCAGCACTTTAGAACAGATGGTGTTCTGGTATTCTTCCTTACACACTGACATAAATGTTACTTCAAACCGCTGATCTGCAGGCAAGCCGCTGCAATAAGGTCTCTGAAGTTACTCCTGTAGTTATACATGCCAATGATTACCTAGAGGTTTTGCAAAGTAACGCCTCAGTCTGAGTTTCCTGAAACCCAGGTTAGTTCTTCACTACAAGTTCACGAGAAACGATTCACTGTTTTCTCTGTATTCTCAAATGCAGAGAGAATGAACGCCAAACAAATATTTTTCTCCTTCCCCGAGTCTGCTTACAATCCCCTTAATATAATTAGTACCCTTTCTCTGTGAATTTGTAATACCTTATACTCCCGTATAAAACTTTATTTTTCCCCTGGAAGGAAATTGTCTTCAGATTCTCAGCAGTGCTGTTCACAACTCAAACAGGTAGGAGGATGAAAAATTAGTGTCCCCTTCTGTAAACACAAGGGAGGTAAATCCTCCCACAGGACTAACACCTTCAGCATTGCTAGAGACTGCCTCCTACACATCAACAGCTATTAAAGGGTGCTACTGAAGAACATTCCTTGCACAGCTTCAATGCCCTTCATCAGCACTTCAGTTTTAATTTTTTTTTTTAATTTTTTTTTTTTTTTTTAAACTTTTGAGCAAGAACTGCACAGGCAAGTTTAACGCTTTCACATAGACATGGTTCTCCAGTCTACTTTGACACCTAACCTGCCATAAAAAACCCTTCATGAAACGTGGAGGCCAATCTCAAACCTCCTGGCATGAATGCAGTTGGTAACATCCACACTCTTCCTCCCCTCCTGAGGGAAACAGGGCTGGAGGCAGATGCCATGTGTGGTGAGCAAAGGGGAAACACAGCTAACACCAATGAGAACAGGCACCGGTACAAACGAAGCATGTCCTTGTGTAAAAGGATGCTGGTGTAAGTAGCTGGATGGATTGGAAGAGCCTGGGCTAGACCCTCACTAGTAACTCCACAGTGCTGTAGGGGCAATGGGGGTGTGCTCACCACCACGGTGGAGACTCAGCTGAAGTGTTACACCTTCTGAACACCACCTCGCTTCCTCAGTAGCGGGGACAAGAGTGACAAACACCCGAACCTGCTCTGTAAGAGCATATCTGGAAGTAAAAACCTGCTGCAGTGAAGGGAATATCCTGCCCCTCGACTCAAAACCACAATGACTCATCCCCACTCTGCCAACAGGAAAGTTCATTTTTAGCTATGACTGTAAATGTTTTGTCAAGTGAAGCTGTCACCTTGGAGGAATCCCAGGTGCTAAGCAAGACACTCTAAAATCTTAAAACAAGGTCTACATGAAGAGGTCTCACTAACCCAGCCAGAGTACCCAAACCAGTCTCTATGCTCCAGCCGATGTTTGACAGCAACACAACTCCCTCGCTTCAGTCCAAGAGACTCCTCAGTACCACTGATGTAGGGAGCTTCTTTATTAGGTAGTGCAGTACTTGCACTATGCTGCAAAATTTAATACTTTGAGTAGTCTGCACTTGTTGTTATATACACACACATACATATTTTATTTAGAGAGCTCTTCTCATGCAGCCAATCCACACTTCAACAATAGGCAGCACAAGACCACTTCAGCAGCTGCTAGTTTTGATGAAAAAACATCGAGTCATCTATTCTGTGCTAAGCAGCTTCACCTAGGATAACACTTCTTGCTGGTGCTCCGATCCACTGGAATTCAAAGGATTTTAAGTAGTTTACACAGCACATTTGCTGCCAAATGCAACCCAAATACTAAGCCAGAATATTAAAGTCTACATCCACACATCCCCCTACTGACATGCTACCTGACAACTAGAAATCGGGGCATCCAATATTAATTGATGTTAATTAAAGTTAACAATAAAAAGTCAATAAAAAGTCAATGACTTTGTGGAGCACGCTGTAATTTCAACGGTATTCTAAAGAAAGTTCAAACTCTGTTCACCAACACCAGCTATTTCCTCGATAAGCTATAGAGGCCGCCTGTTTGCACATCCTTGATCAGGAGCTCACTTTTGGGTGCTTCCCCCCACTATTTCAGGAATCAACAGAGCAGAATCCTTCCAGAACTTCAACATTAAAACCAGCAACTGTGTTTACACAGCCAGCACCTCCAAGGGGACCCACCAAGCGAGAAAACATGCGCAGCACGTGCTCAGAGATAAGGGGTAACAAGCAGAGGAATTCTGGATTACGCCTTAGCTTATCTCCATGTGCACACATGGACACACACAATCCAGCACTGCTGCCAAATCCCTGATGAGCTAAACATGCACTTGAAAAAAAAAAACAAAACCCAAAACAAAAACCCCAAACAACCAACCCACAAAACCTCCTGTGTTCAGATAAAACCCCAAATTAAGTTCAGAGTTGCACTGCCATCCTGGGAAGCAGTAGCCAGCCCACACATTTATCCTTTCTGATGGATTTCCCACTGAGAAAACCCAACTTCAGAGTTGTCCTCTTCCAGTCCTGCCATTTCCCCACCAAGTGCTGGCAGAGAAATTCTGCAGAGGGCAAACAACAACAGACAAGCAGCATGCAGGAGCCCCTGCCCTGACGCTGACACAGCTCTTAAGTGTTCCAGCAGAACAGGGCACAGCTAACAGCAATCTATGTATAGCACTGGTAATCCCTCCATGTCCTGTCTTAGGAACTGAAAGGAAAAAGCTGGTTAAGTCACAGCTCCAGATTGAAGGACAGTGACCTTTCTGATGGCTTGCCAAGAGTATTCTCCCCCTTCCCACCCACACACTGGACTACCTGCAGACACCCAAGAAGACAAGGGTAACATTTCAGGATGTTGCTATAGTGGGAACTGTCCAAGCCGACCATTCTTTAGCAGATATTATAGTGGAATGCAAAGGAGATACTAACCCTGTGCTATCAGACGTGGCTTCAGGCACAGGCAAGCCTCTTCCACACCTGCTCCTCGGCCACTGTG